GTATGTAATTTTGTTCTTTGCAAGAATGTCTTTCACATCATCTCAAACTCATGGGTGGCGAATTTGACTTCAAGAGATTGGAGTCAAATTCGCCACCCATGAGTTTGAGATGATTTGAACGAATTCATAGTGTGAAAGCTTAATGCGTTCATTTTGGATTCCGTTTTTACCTGCAATTTTGCATGCAGCTGCGATTTTGTCAAATGTGAAGCTGTCAAAAATGAAATTGCAACACAAGGTGGTCCCCTTCGGCCACACTGTTCAAAGAGTTCATGCATGTTCCGTCCTACTCACTACTCCCTGGAGACAATCGTTCTTTTTGTTGTCCAAGGCGGCTGTTTGCCCAGTGTGACCCCAGTCGACGGCATGAAAAATATGGCAAGTTACTCAGTGATGTCAGAAATGAGGTTCAAATGGTAGAGTACGGCTGAAAGAGAGGAGTGCCTTGTCGGGGCGAAGTTGCGGGGTTTAAATTTGTTTTTCTTTTCCAGACCATCCCTACCTTCAGATTCATTGTTGACCGCTCTTCACACACCCAGTTTGTCCCGTGTCCCAATGAATGACGGATTTACAGTATAAACTCCTTCAATTAGAAACTGGCTTTTTAAGGGTCTTGGCCTATCTGGAGCGGAAGGTGCTCGTGATAATGCTCTTTTTATTGATTACCTCAAAGTTCATCATGGCGATGTAGCAGACCATTTATATCTTGCGTCAGATGCAGTGGCTACCGTTGCAGCAGCTTTCGAGCAAGGTAGGTTTCTCAATGACATTTTCAATTTTCCACTTCTAATATTTTCTGGGTTTTATTCCTTATCCTTGTTATTTTATGGGTGAGGTATGCGTGAAAAAGCAGGGCTAGTCGTTACTAAAATGAATGAATGAATTCAATCGTTTGATATTTTGCTGTAACTGAATTACGTATCTCCTCTTGATTTGGAAATGTTCTCTAAGATGTTTTAGTACAGGCTCACATCAATCTGCGTTTCTCAGTGTTACTCAATATTCTTTAGGTGGTGTTATTCTCATAGCTGGAACAGGGTCGTCGTGTCGTGTACTTTTGAATAATGGTCGTGTCTTTGGAGTGGGAGGATGGGGCCACCAAATAGGAGACGGGGGCAGCGGATTCTGGATTGCCATTAGGTAGTTACAGTTTTTGATCTTTTTCATGTCTTTAAAAACTGAAAAGTGAATGTGATTATAGAGCAATAAAAATGATTTTTGATGAAGATGATGGCATGGAGATTCCACACGAATCCACTAGGCTGATTCGTGAACTACTACTCAAGGTATCGTAATTCTTTGCGTCCTTTTGAAGCTTTTTGAAAAAGATGTGAATTTCTGTTTGACCAGCACTTGGTCCCGATACGAACCGAGCGTCTCCCTGCTTGGAGTGATCCGGTTCTAGTCTCTCACTAGTCACATACGACTTTGAAAATTACAGGATAATGGACATTTTTAAAAAAATTTACGCTTAACACAAATTCTCTGAATACCTCCCTCCTGATCTTAAAAACAAAATTCAGGAGCAGAAGCAGTGAGTGGCGAAATGGTGGCGCTTGCTCATAGGTAGGATTGGGGGGGCGGAATGGACTAGGAGGCTGTAAAGGAATAGCCAACAGTACACCTCAACCTGATGTGAGCGTCATCAACAATTGTGGGGACTTTGATGCCTGCTTGGCTGCTATGCACTCCTAATCGAGATAATGGCACTTTCCTGGCTCCCTGCTGCTTCTGGCCTTGTGCGACTACTGCCTTCAGCCATTTTCAGCGCTTTTTGAACGGACCAAGTTCGAGACGGAGAAACAATTCAAGAATGTGGTACGACTAATTTAGAGCTTCAAGATATTCATAGAAAAGAACAGCGAAACCTCCCGGCCGATCTAATAGTAGCGAACAATGGACCAATGTTCCGCGGCCCCAACGTGCAATTAATACCGGAGCTAGACCTTGCCACTTGGTTGCAACTGGCTGCAGCTGGCTGCGGCATCCCTGCATGTCATTCACTGCCATGTTCCCTCATCTGCTCCATCTCCTTTACGCCCAGTGTTCCTCCTTCGCAGTACTGGACACTCCGCAGAAAGGGTCTGCATTTTCAGTGGTTTCGGTGAATTCTTGTTTCTTCGCTGGCGGTCCCTTGCATCTACACCTTCATTTGCGAGCAAAACACACCGCATCCCGTAGTCATAGAAATGTGCCTTTAAACAGACTAGCTGATGTCAAAACAAGGACGAGTCCCGACCAAGCTGTCTGCGCCTTCATGCCGCCTTATAATACTCCTTCTATTGCACCGTACCGGTCGCTTATTTTGTATGCGAAATGTATGTTAGAGTCAAAAATTACCCTGTTTTTTAGCTGGCCCTCACGCAGTTTGTATGAACGGTTCTAGTGGCCGCTACGACTCTGAGTGGGAGTCGAATACGTGGCGTTTCCCTGAAATGAATTGCAGCATGTCCGGCAACACTTCGGGTTGAGAAAATCGAATAAAATGACAGTTCTTTTTTACGACGCCTTGGCGCTCAGAAAAGTTTAATCCGTGCATACATTAATACGAAGTTATAAAAATCCTACTTACTATAAAGCGCTTCGTCTGTCGTGTGTCGTGTGTCGTGTGTCGTCTGTCGTGTGTCGTCTGTCGTTCTGTATGTCTGTCACGAAATTCCCTAGCTCCTCGGGATCCGCCTGGAGGGACCGGGTCAAGTGTGGGATGGGTGGGCAGGGTCTCACGTAATACAAAACACACATCAGCTAAGCGGAGCCCCGCCCACAGAGGGCGTGGCGTGCGTCGAAATGAATTGTACCGAAGACCAAGATTTCGATTTCAGTGAAAAAACGACCTCGAAACTGGGCCAAAAAGTGGGTTAAGGTGTGCATTGGTAAGTCACATCGAATTAGGGAGACCCACCCCCGGTGGGCGGGGCGTTCTCTAAAAAAGCAGTGCTTTATGAAAAATTTCATAACTCGGTTGGGAGAAAGCCTACAGAGCAGAAAACAATTTGGTGTAAGGGAGCAATGTCTAAGGTGTTTCCTGCATACATGACGTGGGCGGAGGCCCGCCCAGAATGGGCGGGGCGCGCTCTGAAGTGTACAGCATTTTCTACAAGCCCTCATAATTCGGGTCGGGGAAGTCTTAAAGAGCCGGAAAAAGGTGGATAGAGTGTATGGAGGAGTGGAGGCCAGCTGTCAATGGTGGGCGGGGCTTGACCAAAGTGGGCGGAGTTTGCGACGAAAATTTATAACTCGGCTCCAATGAAGTCCCGGAGGCTGGGAAAAAGGGAGTAGAGGCCGGCAAAGGGAAAGGAGGTCAACTGCTATTAGTGGGCGGAGCACGCACCTAAGTGGGCGGAGTTTGCCAAAAGTGTCGTAATTTGGTTCCAAGAGGTCCCAGAGACCGGTGAAAAAAGGGGTAGAGGTCGGCGAAAGGAAGGGGCCAAATGCTATTGGTGGGCAGGGCACGCACCGAAGTAGACGGAGTTCGCCACGAGATTTATTGTCCGGGCCGAGGACCGAGAAAAAGAGGATAATGGTTGACGAAGAAGAAAGAGCGGATAGAATTTAGCGGAGAATTCAGATATTCGTATTGTATCAAGCCAAATTTGAAAATTTTCGTCGCACCATCAAAATTCGCCGCAGATCTGTGTTGCGCGCGCAATGCGTGCGGCGCCAACTGGTTAAAATTAAGTGGTACACTTTTTTTAGAGCGAGTAGCGCAATTATGTGAACCACCTAATAAACAGTCTGAATGCAGAGCAGGGTTACAAAAAATTCCCCCTAATCATAAAATCGCCTTTTCAAACCGGAGTTCACGTTGTATCTTTCAGCATTTCAAAATTGAGGACAAAGTTGACATTTTGGAGTATCTGTACAATAAATTCCAAAAGTCACACATTGCTTCGTTCACTGGCGAACTGGCCAAACGTATGTTGTTCAACATTGCTGAATATCACTTTTTCAAGATCTTACTATATTTTGAGTCATTCCGTAGCATCGTTTTTCATTTAGACTTGGATGACCCTGCCATAAACAAGCTGTTTTTTGACGCTGGTGAATTGCTTGGAAAACAATTTGTAGTTGCTGCAGGTCATCTACCTAGTGTGAGTCTGTTTTTTTCTTCTTATGAATGACGTTAAAAAGGCATTTCAACCGCTGTATACAAATGATTTAGGAATGCAGGGCTGAGGTGAACCTCGTTCTTGTAGGATCGGTGTTCCTGTCGTGGGATGTTGTCAAGAAAGGTTAGAACAGCTCCTTTCATTTCAATTTGATATGGTCCAAGTCGAGTACTCTACAGGAGGCCCGGTTAAAAAGTAGAAACGGAACGGGCCATTGGACAAATAATAAAAATCATGAAGCTCCGTGCTGAGTGATGTGGGTCTTAGCATAGTATATTTGACTTGACGCTAGATCGCTCCAGTGCGCGCTGCGACTCGTCCACTGACCCGTCTACGTCTGCTTTCTCACCGCGCGGCGGGCCTCCTGTCAGGTACCCGTCCAAGTCACAAAATGATGGTAGCGGTTGGCTAGAGGTGTTGCAGCGCCTGCACCATCCACTTGATCGATTTCTAAAGAGATCAGCCAAAGTTTGAATTCAATTAGATCGGTTGATTTTGACTACTTTGAGGAGATGAAACACTGATTGTGAAAGCGGCTTGTTCCCTTCAATAACTGTGTGTTTCAAATACGCTCTTAAGCACTCATGCGAATGCAAGTAGAAATCAAATACGTGGCGCGTTCGTGGGTCCGCGTTCGAGAACACTGGCCGGCGCAGGAAGCTTAGTTCTTCTCTTTTGATCAAACTTTCAGCTAGCTTTATGGAATGTCAGATATTTTCGACACTGTAGTTGCGGATTGTCACTACATATAATCTCCAGATGAAGAAAGTCAGGCAACCTCATTAACTACATGTTTTTAGGTTTCGTACATGCTGTAACAGGATCCTGGATACCGAAGGTGAACATCTACAGACCGTCGACATCTAGCGCTGTAGGTGCTGCATACCTTGCGGCACGAGAAGCTGGTCTCACTATTCCCCATCC